ATAAATAAATTAAATTAGCTCTATAAATTTAATATGCAAATATCTTATTAAATTACTATAGTTATAGAGATATAGAAGACAAAAAAAAAAAAAAAACTCAAAGCTGGTTTGATTTATAAGCAAAATTTATAAACAAATACTCGATTTATTAACAATTCATCAACTAAATTTGCGATAAACGTTCTATGCATTTAAGCTTAATAGACTAAAAACAGATTCCAATTATTATAGTTGACTAGTTGAAATTATTCGCTTTGTTGCACTAAAGAATTCCAGCTCATTAAAAACAAACTTCAGACTTTCATTTGGAAAGTATTTTCCCCCTTTTTTTTTGTTTCGCCCGAATGGCAGTCAAAAGTTGCATTCAGAGTGAAAAGTTGCAGCAAAGGACGATTCGATGGCTTCGTCCGAGGCATAAACAATAATAATTATTATCAAAAGTAATTAAAATTGTAAATGCCAAAATTATAAATAAAGGCAAATAAAGGCGAAAATCTCAATGGGAAAAAGTCAAAAATAGAAAGTTGAAAATGTAACAGTTTGGCAAGGGGTGGGGCGGGACGAGACGAATGCGTTGGCCAGCCCAGGCAACAAGCTGGAAAATTCGACTTGTGACCACGCAATAAAATCGGGTATAAGTATTATGTGGGAGACTTTGGCACACAAAGCCAGAGCTGATTCCGTATGAAAAGATATTATTGCAGCTAAGTTGTCTATTGTCGCTGCTCCAGCTACATTTACAGCCAAATTAAGAGGTCGTGTGTGACAGAGTATTTGGGGTGCTTTAAACCAATTTCCAGCTGATGTTGATTGTTGACTTTTCCGATTGTTGGCCATGAAAGTGGCGGACGGAACGCTGGAAGCCACAATTCCGACTACAATTGTACTACCAGCAGCAACAAAAATAACAACAGCCACTCCCGGGACATACACACACACACACACACACACACACACACACACACACATATTTATATATAAGGAACAACAAAGGCGACTGCTACTGCTGTTGCTGTTGCTCGGCAGCTCGAGATGAAAACTTTTACTTTTGTTTAATCAAATTCTGCAGCACGTCGAGCACCATTGAATTCTTGTAACAAAACTGACTGCTCTGGCTGCCCGGCGGGTCCTTTGGGTCCCAGGACGAAAGTGTGGCGCGGCATTCGCGAGTAACTAACTCATTCGCTTGCCCACGGCCGCAGGCATTTCGCCGCCATGCTTCATTGTTGTTTTGCTTGGCTTTTTGGCTGCTGCCAGAGCTTCTGCATCTTTCATTCTCTACCTACCCTCTCTCTCTCTCACACTCTCTCTCTCTCTCTCTCTCTCTCTCTCCTCCATTCCACTATCTACCACTTGTCAGACAAGTGCCCCGGCTCCCTGGAGATGCCACTGGTTAGCCGCTCCACTGGCACGCTCGACTTAAACGCTTAGGCACAATTATTACACAAATTACGGACAGAGCGAGCCGGACAACGGACTACGCCGGGTGGGTGTCCGCCATCGTTATTAGCGCCATCTCGACAGCTTTTTGATGGAAGTGTCCGGCTCTGTGGTGTTTAGTTGAGATTACATGACCATGACCAAGCCGGAGCCCCAGCCTTCATCAGCAGCTCAGTTGAGCTCATCTCGACTCAACAACATGCCCATCATAATTAGGAAAAGTGTCGATTTGTTGTCAGCAGCGACTGGCCCTCGACTCGGCCCGGACGGACGCACTGCGATAAAGAGTCGGCATCAGTCGACCCTGCCCCAGGATATCGTATGTTTCACAATATACTGAAGTTGAAATTGGTTCTTGAAATGCTTATGAAAACAGCTGGAGAAAGTTAAGGAAAGTTAGAAAGATAATATATACATACATATGTATATATTGTAAGCCCAATTTGTAATAGGTTCATTCACTCATTGGAACTTTTTTAAAGACTAATTTGGCATTTATTTTAATTGGAAAATTAAAAAAGTTAGCTTTTCCCATGCATATAAATTAATGTACATATATGCATAAATACTTTCTTTTATTGAAATACAGTCAGATTATTCAATTATAGCTAATTTTTTGAACTCATAAATATCTCTTCGAAAAAAAAAAAAAATTGTTTTGCCTAAATAGATAAATAAAAATAACATGTAAATAAATTTTCTATGCGTAAATTTAAAAAATAATTTCCTAGAAAATTTGTTTAAGTCCACTTTGTGGCGTGTCGTAATATAAAATTGATACAAGCGCGCATAATTACCTGAATACCAGGAATTGGCAGGTTTATGCGGAATATTCTGAGAATTTAAAGGTTCTCCAATGGATTCAATTGGGGCCACCCAGCCAAAGTGTTTCAGGAGCGCGAAGGCCAGACGGGACTCGTTGTCAATTGCAGGCGAAAAGATTATTGCCTGTGGATGTGTGTGTGTGTGTGTGTGTGTGTGTGCGTGTGTGTGTGTGTGTGTGTGAGTCGTGTCTGTTAGATGATTTTATTGCTAGACTTGATGCCGACTTAAGTGCCCACGAGGCTTAGCCGGTTAATTTTAGTGCGGGAAATCCTGCTACTCACTCTCTCTCTCTCTCTCTCTCTCTCTCTCGCCTCCTCTCTCTCTCACGCAGATGAGTTGCTGCATGCTGTGACTGAAACTCATTGGCTGCTTTAATCTCAGACTTTGTCTAGAGGCCCCACTCAAGACTCAAGACTCAGGACTCAGCACTTAAACTCAATCTGCATCGCAGTCCCCGTCTAGCTGCGAGTCATCGAGTCGCCTTTGCCGCTTGGTCGAGCCTCATTACGCAAGTTTGTCCCGCCAATTGGGGCGGGGCAGACATTTTATCTTTTTATATCTTGCTCTGCACACGGCTCGCCTGTTTCTGTGGATGCATGTGTGTGCTGGCGTGTGTGTGTGTGTGTGAGAGAGTTTTTATAACTTTTTAGTTTGTTGTTCGGGCGCGGAGATTAAGCAAATTTTTGTTGCATACTTTAAGGCTGCGGCGGCGGCTGTTGCCCGCCTAAAGTGATATTTTTCCTAATTTTCCCTCTTTATTATTCTGTTTTTCTTTTCGCTCGGCGCGTCTCTTACGCGTATTTCACTTGTTTTATTGCAGTTTCGCTTTGCTCGCCCTCCCCACCCCACACTGTCTTTGTATTTTTACGCTGTTTTGATTTGCTCTTGCCTCATTTCTGCTGCGTCTCTCGCAGCACTTGGAGCCAGGGGAGGCAGGCACATTCATGTTTCGCTTTTATATGCCTTGAACTCGTGCAACTCGACAGCTGTTTGGTCCTTAACTTGTTTGCGGTTAATGAGTTGCCGGCACCAAGGCACCGTGGGCCACATTCCCGGAATCAAGCGAAAAGAATTTATCCCCCTTAAACGCTGAGATTAGAAGGAATTTATGCATAAATGAATAAATGGCATATTTCGCATAACTTAATTCCACATTGTTTCTGATAATCCAAATTTAAGCTTCTGCTTTTAAATTTTAGATTTACATGTAAATAGAACAATATTTGACGAATATGTTCACTCGATTGGGTTCTAAAATCATATTTCCCAGAAAATAAATTCATAATGAAATGTGTGAAATTCTTAAAACTGTGATTCGTAAATTTATAAACTAAAAAAAAGTTACCTAGTCGAATTTGATCTATTTGCAGTCAAGTTTTCTATTTCATTTAAAACTTCGCTCTTGTTGAGTTTGCTATAAATTTCAGAATGAATATGAGTGAATTCTCAACTTTCGATTTAATTATTTTTTGGTACGTGAAGCAACTTTTCGGCCACTTGTACAATCGGAGCGGGCAACTTGATTATTATAATAATAATAATTATAACGATCAAGTTGTTGCAGTGCATCATTAGTGCAGGCAATTAAAAAGTTTTTATATGAAATCGTTTTATCTTTATTGCACGTACACGCCGCATAAACATAAAACATGATAACATGCTCTCACACACACACACACACACACACACACACACACAGAGACTCGCTCACCCATTTGGTTTATGGCCGTCAGCGAATTTTGCATTCGCTCGCAGCACTTGTACTGCTCTCTGCGCCTTGCTTAGATAGTCGTGGAGCTCTTGACTCTGGCTTTTAGATGCTCAATAGCTGGCAATCTCTTAGGCAGTTGCTCTTCGTTTCGCTGCGCAGCGCTTTACTTAATTAACGATAAATAACTTTTGCCTGCCAATGGGCCAGCGGCCCTGCCTCACAGCCCCGCTCAAGTGCAGCGGGCACAAAAGTTTCCACAGAGCTCTGCGAACTTTCGAGTGTGTAATTTTGGAATATTTTACTTGGCGGCAAATTAAAAAACAAAAATAAAAAAAAAATCAAATTAAAAGAAAAGAAAATGGAAAAACCAAATTGCACTCAGTATTAATTAAATTGAAGAAATCTCAGCGCTTGCATGTGGCATGCAGCATGTGGCACTCGTCTTTATATCTGTGGCATGACACACTTTTGTCTCGCTTTAACTCCTTTTCTCGCCGTACTGCTGTTCGGGCCAGAAAGTTTCGTTACCGAAATTTATGGCGTCGATTTGGCAAATTTACGCGCAACTGCAGCTACAGCCACGCCCACCCTTTTTTCGGGCAGGTGTGCAGGAAGTGTCATAGGTGCATAAATTATGACCAAATTTCTTATATTTTATTGCAATTCTTGTTGCTTAATAGCTGGCGAAAGCGGAGAGCGAAAGAGAGAGAGAGAGAGAGAGAGAGCGATGAGCATATATTAATGTGCATGTGTATATCGAAGATTTAATGCCTGAAATATTTCAATACATTTTGGACTTTATTACGGATTAAAAATAATTTATATATTTTTAATTCCTAGAGTTGAATAATTAATAAATTTCTTAATATCCTTTTGATTTCTCTTGGTAAAGTTTTTATAATAAATATTTAAATAACCTAATCGAATACATTAGTAAAGTTACTCAGATTATCGATTCATTTAATGTTGATAGAAATTTAAGGAAACACCGCAGAAACAAATATATAACTATATTTCTTTATACAGTTCAAATTAATTACTCAAATAATTAAAATTATCCTTCTGTGAAAATGCTTTTAATTATACCAACAACTCTCAATTTAGAGCGTGTAGAATGAAGTAATTGAGAGGAATTATATTAATAAAACCCAGACCAAGAGCAATTCAGTTCTGTGGGACCCTTAGCTTCTATGATTCTACTTAACGCTCGGCCCTCGTCCTTTGACTGTTTGAAATAAACTTTTGAACAAGTTTTTCTTCCGGTTCGGGCTCGATTGAGATTGGCCTTTGGCCTGCTTCCTGCATATATCATGACTGTCTGTCTGTCGCCTTTGSCTGCCTAAATTATGCAAATCAATACAAAAGTCCAACAGCCAGTGGCTGGCCGTCCTTGAAGGTAATTAGCTAATTAATTTGAAATTGCTATAATGCGTCGGAAGTGGGCAGGCGAGCGAATTGACAACGGCTGGGTAGCTGAGTGGATGAGTGGTTGAGTGGCTGAGTGGTTCAGTGGTGCAGCCTGTTCAAGTTTCGTGCGCTGATTAATTTATTGAACTCGTTTTAATTGTTGGCGGGCATATTAGATAAATGGGATCAGGGCAGTTGAAATATGTAAGCGGCTTAAGCGCCAAGCTCGAAACAAAACACAAATTCATTAATTTATGGCCTACAATGCGTCTTGCTTTACAATTTCCCATCTCTCTATCTATCTCTGACTCTCTCTCTCACTCTCTCTCTCCCTCTCGATCTCTTCTAGGCGGCCTGAAGGCGGCAATATTAAGGAGCGACAGAATAAATGACGGCACATTGCATAGAAGTCAATCAAAGAGAGCGGCGACATTGGCAAAATCGCTGCCATTTATTACAGCGCCAACGCGAATTGTGAAAGCAAATGATGGGGAAACAGTGTCACCAACAGCAGCAGCAGCAGCAGCAGCAGAAGCAGCAGCAGAAGCAGCAGCAGCAGCTATGCAGACAAATGCGGAGCCATCCGTTGCTGTTGCAGTTGCAGTTACAACGGCAATTGTGGAAACTGCATTGTCCAGCCGCAGCAGCATTAATAACATTAGCAACAATGACGATCGACAGCGACTGCCAGGACAGGGGCAGGGGCAGGTGCTGGGGCAGGGGCAGCGGCAGGAGGCAGCAGCAGCCGTGTTGCAAGCAAATCTTATTATGAGCAACAGGAGTGTGGAGCAGCAGGACCCATATGTGCACAAGTACAGAATTACGCAGAACAATGCATTGTTCTCCCACAGCAATGGGTCGACAGCCACAGCAATCAATGGAGCTGCCATGGCTAAGGCAACAATGGAGCAATCGACAGCATCTACTACAACAACCGCAGCCACACCAACTACAACAACAGCAGCGGCAACAACAACGACAACGACACGCCGGCCGGCGCCAAGGACAACGCTAAAGCCACCGCCAACAATAGATGATTACCAGACAATAATTAGCCAAGCGGGCACACACGCCTATCTGCCCTGCAACGTAAGTAGAGCCCAAAACTCCAACTCCAACTCCAACTCCAACTCAAACTGAAGCCGAGTTCCACCCCGGAAATTTCCTTTAATTAACAGTCCATAATGCGTGCCAAATGAGCCGCTCACTTGGTGGGGGTCTCAAGAGTTGTAGGCTTATAAGATTACCAGCCCGGCCGCACAAAGGCGTGGCTGCGGCACAAAAGAATGAAGTGATTGCTTCCCACATGGAGCACAGGCAGAGCACAGCAGCACATCTCACTCGGATCAACACACACGCGACATCAATTAATGGCCTAATAATGGGATATGCGCCCGTGAAGGGCCCACACATCCGATAGATCGGAATGTAAGCAGTAATTAGTCGATTTGTCATTGCTTAGTTTCTGCAACGGGAAGTTAATGAGCTTCTCGAGACATGCCACAGATGTCTGACAAAATACTTGATAGGCTAACTGCAAATATTTCCGAGACTCTGATCAGAATTTATAATGTCGTAGCACTTCCAGAAACTGTATGCGTCGGTGGAAGAAATGGAACTATCCAATCCCACTGGTTGACGAATCTATAACTGTCTCTATTTTCTTCTAGTCAACAGTAGAACTTGCAGTCGTAGACGTAATGAATGAGTGCATAATATTTTGAGCAAATATAATACAGCTCCACTGTGCTTACTCAAGCCTTGCTTAATGCATAAAAGCAGGGCCGGCTTTGCCCTCAACGGGGCCTTAGGCAAACATCAATTTGGGGGCCCCTTTTTATTAAAGCACGTTCCCTTCTCTTTCCTTCCAATCTTTCTTGCTCTTTCATCTGTCGGGATCCCAGGCAGCTGCCATTTAGTCACCTTGTTACACCAGCTCTGTATAAAAACATGGCATACATAGAGTCATTTACTTATAGCTCAGAAGGTATTTGTATTGGGTTGTGCTTCTAAATCATTTCAATTTGCAGAGAACATTGCGCAGTTTTCTTATAAGCCAAATACACTCAGTTAACAGAGAGAGACAGAATGCTATTTCCAACTCTCTGCTAAACTATTGCCAACATTTTAAAATGAGAGAAAGAAGAAGAAGAAGAAAGAAGCTTATCTATATTTCCATGGGCCGTTCCAAAAACAAATCAGCTTCACGTTCGCTTTCCACTCTCGGTACGGCTTTCGCTCGAACCAACTTTTGGGCCTCTCTTAATGCAGTGATAAACCTTTTCAGTTAACTTACAAAATTGAGCGCTCTACAACAAGTCGAGAGCTTATACAAAATATTATATTCATTTTATTTTTGTGTATTATGTCCTCCATCTCTTTTTTTTTTTTTTTTTTTTTTTTTTTTTTTTTTTT